ATGCATGTCATATATAATATGGTCATATACAGATTTGATTATTTTTTTAAAAAAAAATTATTTTTTAAATTATCCACCCCTAGTTTTAGGCGTTGCCCTTATTTAATCTAAGAATCAAATAAAATTAGGTTAATTAAACAATAATAAAGAGAATAAAAAATATTAAAGTACGTGGTATTATCCTGCCATTACATGATGAAAAGATGAAAAATAACTTTAAAAAATTATTTGTAAGTTGAAATGAAATAATCACTCTTGTGGAACCTTTAATTTTAAATAGTTTGAAAAATTAGATATGTTATGAGTTGAATGAAATAATCACTCTTGTGGAACATTTTAATAATTTTAAACAAAAATATTTTGTAAGTTGAAATGAAATGATCACTCTTGTGGAAAATAAATAAAATAGTCACTATTCTAGAACCTTTAAATTGTTTTTGCGTCTATTAAAAGAATGATTTCTGGGATCAAAATATTGTCTTTTGGATTTAAGATAGATAGATATTATTGATAATAAATAAATGCTATAAATACTTCCTAGTCGTTAGTTTTCATTATTCTCAAATTAGTAATGGAGTATAATATGAACTAAATTATTCTAGTTTTACAAAAGGTTTTAATTTAAGGCATGTTATGTTTAAAGGGTTAGAATGGCCGTGCTTAACTTATGAATAGAGGATGCAATCACACAACCTATGATATTGTACAACACACTTTAAATTAGTTGATAAAATAAGATTCTAGTTATGAGATAAGAAATAATAAATTTTTACTTATAAATAAAACAAAATCTTGTATTTATGCAAGAAATAATTCTTTACTTATAAATAAAACAAAATCTTGTATTTATGGCAAGAAATAATGATAAGTCATTTTAAAAATCTAGTCGCAAATTAACTTGAGATTAAATTTAAACTATAAATAAAGCATTCTACCAAAGTAGAAGAATGATCCACTGAAAAAGAGTTAGAGGCGTCAAACACAATCCAACACATGGAACAATACAGTATGCATGTCTTCTCCGAAATCATCTTATCATAAATTATCTCATTATATATCATTAAGCATATTTAATTTTTTTTATAATCCATTTTTTCTAAATAATCATTATTTTTTATTGATTAACATTATATTTCGTGAAGACTCCCCTGACGAGAAGCCATGGGTTCCCATCTTGAAACCAAGGAAATCTGGAGTGGTGGCCTACGGTAAATTCGCTGTGGAAGAGTACAACAGATCGAGCAACGCCAGCCTGGAGTTCAAGAGCGTCCTGCAGGGGGCCCAGCGAAAAATTGGCGGGAGAAAGTACACGTGGCTTGACATCAATACCTCGAATGGGAAGTACAGGGCGGATATGTACGGCTGGGGAGGTTCCAAGGGTCACAAAGTCCTCATCTCTTTTAACAAATTAAATTATTAGTTAATTGATAATTAGCATAATACAATTGGTTTTCTTTTCTTTAATATGGAGTTTAGGTTATTGGGATTGTTAGAGTGTTAGAATATAACTTATGAGTTGTCCGTGTTAGAATATCACTTGTGAGTTGTCCCACATATTTTATACATGAAAAATAGACCCACCTTATAAGTCTAATGGGCTACTCCTCCTTCCACTAATTGGTTTTGGGATGAGACTCCACTTGGGCTTCATATGGGCTTTCCCCCTTCCACCAATTGGTTTGGGATGGAATTCCACTTGGGCTTCATATGGGCTTTCCCCGCTCTGGCCCACTTCATGTTAGTGGGCCCACACACGTTTTCCTCCCAGTTTTCTTACAACGAGTAATGTATGTTTTTATTAATTAATAATTGATCTTTTTATTTGGTGATAAGAAAATGGTAATTTGATTTGTGGAGGCATTTTATGTAAAACAACATTTATTGTTTTTAGCATCAAACAAATATCAACAAATTTAATGTGTTGAAAAGATGTTTATTAATATATTCCTTCTACACAAAGTAACTCTCCAATCCACAATCTACATTCATTCATATGTAACATATATAAATAGGATGCACAAACATAGCTCCAATTGCAAGAACATACATTCTATATTTTGCATTTGAATGCACAATAGCAAAATTTACAAAATATGATTTCGAAATCTCTATGGCTTTTCATCCTCGTAATTCTCCCATTTTTCGCATCTATCGACCTTGTTCAAGTATCTGCTAAAGACTCGTGGTGCCCGATCACTCAACCTAGGAGCCATGAAATGGTCGAGTATGGAAAATTTGCCGTGAAAGAAATGAACGAACTAGGCGGCACTCACATGGCATTTGAAAGTGTTCTTCAAGGAGCCACACTAAAAGAGGGAGAGAAAGTGTATATAAGGTTCGAATTAAGTGTAAAGGATGGCTATGACCGGTCAAGGTACATGGTTAACATGTATGAAGTGCCCACAATACAGTTCAAGAAAGTAACTAACATTAGAAAACTCCCTTGAATTAATATATATGCATTTCTAGGGTCTTATTTAATAAGTTTGAATGGTTGATCTACAATTTTTGCATTGGCAAATGAATGATTAAGAGAAAGCATCACTTGTACATTTTTTTTTTAAAAAAATATATGTATATATACTAGTATTATATCTTTATACTTTTTAGATAATCTTCTAAATATATGTAATTCACAATCTTATATTATGGAAGGGGAAATAAATTAAGTATAAAAAAAAGTTAAAAAAATAATATAATTAGAGCATGTTAAGAAAAAGAGGTCAATAAAATTTTCATAGCTAGATATAAATTTTGACATGGTGTTATTTATCATATATTATTGTAAAATAATTTAAATAATAATGTGGCAAGAAAAAAAAATGTGATGAGGCATTTTATGTAAAACATTTGTTGTTTTTAGAACAAATTAACAAATATCAACAAATTCAATGGGTTCAACATAAATTTAATTAATATTCCCTTCTTAAGAAAGTCCACTCCTTTTTTAGCCTCTTCACCTTATGTCCTTATCCCAACCTTTAAAAAAAAATCAATGCAACTCCAATCCACAATGTATATTCATATGTACATATAGAACATACATTGAAAGTTCCATTCGAAACCACAATAGCACATATTTTAATAACTTTGCAAGACATGGTTTCGAAATCTCTATGGCTTTTCCTTCTGATATTCCTCCCGTTTTTCGCATCTCTCAAGCTTGTTCAAGTATCGGCTCAAAAATCGTGGTGCCCGATCACGAAACCTAGAGCGAGCCGGGAAGTGGTCGAGTATGGAAAATTCGCCATGAAAGAAATTAACGGACTACGCCGCAGTAAAATGGTATTGGGTAGTGTTCTTCAAGGAGCCACCCAAAAAGATAGAGATAAAGTGTACATAAAGGCTAGAAATCAGTGTAAGGGAAGGCAAAGCCAGCACAAGGTACATGGTTAACATGTATGAGGTGCCCACGAAAAAGTTCAAGAAAGTCACTAGCATTAGAAAACTCCATGGGAAAAAGGGTTGCGGACCCACTAACATGAAGCGCACCAAAGCGGGGAAAACCCATATGAAGCACAAATGGGATTCCATCCCAAAATCAATTGGTGGAAGGAGGAGTAGCCCATTAGACTTATAAGGTGGGTAAGGTGGGTCTATTTTCCATGTATGAACGATGTGAGACAACTCACAAGTGATATTCTCAACTCACAAGTGATATTCTAACACGTCCCTCACTTGTGAGTCCTTCGGAAGCCCAAGCCCAACTGGGTGCCCTAAGCCTACTAGAAGTAGACTCCCATAAACGGGTACGTGGGGAAGCAGACTCCCATAAACGGGTACGTCTTCGCATGGTCCCAATAGAACCGGCTCTGATACCATGTAAGAAACTTGGAAAAAACGTGTGCGGTCCCACTAACATGAAGCGCACCATGAGAGGGAAAAACCCATATGAAACCCAAGTGGGGTTCCATCCCAAAACCAATTGGTGGAAGGAGGAGTAGCCCATTAGACTTATAAGGTGGGTCTATTTTCCATGTATGAACGATGTGGGACAACTCACAAGTGATATTCTAACAGACACTTGTCCAAACTGTATTTATTGTAGGACGCGTGTCAATACACGATTTGTGAATAACATGAATGACTCATAAGCCGAGTCATCCGATGACTTCATAGCAAAACTTTGTCTTAAGGTTTATCTAATTAATAATAAGTTTGATTGATTGATGAAAAAGTGTAACTACAATTTCTTGCATTGTAAATGAAAATAAAATAAAATAATATAAAGTACAGTGTATTGTTAACGGCAGGATGATTAATTAATGTGATAATAAATTTTGAGTTAATATATATGACATTAATATGAGACAATAGGAGGCAAAAAGACAAACAAAAATAATTAAGTACGTTATAAAGTATAAAGGATAACATACTATGAAGTATAAAGTATAAATACCCACATAACACAAAGGTTTTTCATCCACAACCACACACACATTATAAGACCCAAAAAGAAAAAGAAAAAAAAATACAAAATGGCTCCAAAATTTGTTTTCCTCATCATTTTGGTAGCCTTAATGAGCCCGTTTCAATCCCTTGGCCAGATCGAATTTAGCCCGATCGAAGGCCCGAACAAAGATTCAAAGGCTCGAATGTTTGCCGATATTGCCGTGGAAGAGCACAACAAACAAGCAAACACGTCGCTAAAGCTCGACCGCGTCATCAAAGCAGAAGTACGAGAAAGCAACGAAGGCGGGCCCATCGAAGATTTCCCGATTTATCAATACAGAGTTAGGTTCACGGCTTTCGACAGAAAAATCAAAAAGTTGTACGAAGCTCTCGTGACTCAACCGTTAGAAGCGCAGTTCACAACGCTCGATTCCTTTCGGGAAGTGAAGAAATAAAATCGATCGATATATTATAGTCTAAGGAAGAATAAAGAATTGTAATTTAAACCATTTTAATTAGCTGCATTGTCTGTTTGTTCTTTATCAGAAGGTTCATCAATAAAAAGGGTTTGAAGAAGAAATTTGAACTTAATCCAAAAATAACTATTTGGGAATTGAGAACTAGAGAGAACTAATTCAGCGTTCCTCTTACAAAATAATAAATGACGGTACAAATAAGCGAGATATATTAAAAAGTAGGGAGATGCTACATTGTTATTATTACGGAATCATTCCGTCGGGGTTTGTAACCGTTAGATCAACTATCCCTGACGGTTACATGATGATCTAAAAAACAATAGTTCCGAACTCTAAAATAATAGTTCCGTAACAGAATCGTAACATTTCCTAACATATTCTGGTCCAAGCAACTTCCTCTCTACAAAGACATTGTGAAAGAGACAAAACGACCCTCAAATGGGAGACGAAAGTATCTCACTCCCAAAATTGATACAACGAGACAACGTTTGTCAAGTGTTTGAATATGAGTTAAAAGCGATATATTTGGAAATTTTCAGTTTGTTATTTGTCAAACGGGGTAATACGAGTGCGGTCCCACACAGGTGAAGCGCACCATAAGAGATTAGCCCAAATGAAGCTCAACTGAAGTTTCATCCCAAAATCAATGGTAGAATGAGGAGTAGCCCATTAGACTTATAAGTTAGGCCTATTTACCCTATCAAATCAATGTGGGACAACTCACAAGTGACATTTCAACATTATTCATAATTCATTATAACATTGAGACAGTCTATTCTTCATACTTTTTGGAAAAAAATAAATATTTATACAATTATACTTAAAAAGTGTCATACTTTTATTTATATTATTTTTAAGATGTGTTACTTGTATGTATAAGTATAAATATTTATTGAAAATAAATATTATTGTCTAACCATCACCTTGTCTAACAATAATCTTACTATAATTGTGTAATTTAAGGGCATAACCCAAGCGAAGTGTCGAAAATTCATGGGCGCACAGCATATAGTGATTGTCCAAACAAATACTGCACGACACAAAGTGGCTTAATCGATAGACGGGTCGACCTATTATATATTTGTAATAAAAATTCATACTTATATTAATGAAACGCCATAGTACTATTTATGTCATTTTTTTAGAATATTGAATCTCAATTTAAAATTATACGTATGTTTTGTAAACGTATATGCATGTCTCTAGCGTTAGACTATATATTGTGTTATTTGGTTAATAACTGCAGGAAGATTAATATATGACGGCATAACAGTAGAGTTTTAAATATGAGATAGTTATAAAAGGAAAAAAAAAAAAAACGTATGTATGTGATAATAAATATCAATTTCAAAAACTCATTACTAAATGAAAAAATAAAACAAAAAAACCCTAGCCATAATGTACTATAAATAATACCCACACAACACTTCAATCACAACCAACATTCAAAACACCAACAACACTTACCAAAAAAAAAAAGAAAAAAATAAAATAAGGAACAAAAGTAAATGGCGCCAAATTTCGTATTTTTCATCGTTTTCGTGTCCCTAAGCTCGCTAAAATCCCTTGCCGAACCCCACGAATGGACGCCGATAAACCCGGGTGATCCCGAGGTGGTGAATCTAGCGAAATACGGCCTGGTTGAGGAAAACCAACGAGACAGTAGGTCGCTAAAGTTTGTCTCGATCGTCAGAGGACAATACGTAGAGATCGATGATGGGAGACCCGAGTACGTGCCGATTATTCGATACAAGCTCGTGATCTCGGCTGACGACGAGAAGAATATCCGAAAGCAGTACGAAGAAATACTATCGGAATCGTTAGAGGCTAGTGTAGTTCTGCTCGACTCGTTTAAAGAATTGAAAAATTAATGGCTAGTTTGGGGAAGGAAACAAAAAAAAAATGAAACAAAATGTAACTATTTTATTGTATAAATATTCAAAAATGATGAGGATATGCATACCTCTTTTATTAAAAATAGCATACTTTGAATTTTTTATAGATAAGTATAATTTTTTATTAAAAAAGTATGATTGATCGAACCTTGTCTAACGGTTAGACTTTCTCAAGAATTTGTGTCAGGGATAATCGGTTTTGCTATGGAGCCATCGGATGACTCGGCTTATAGAGCCATCTTTAGTCATCCACAAATGGTGTATTAACACGTGTCTTGCAATAAATACACATTGGACACGTGTCAATACATAAAATTATGAATGACTCCATAAAGGAACCATCCGATGACTTCATAGCATTTCTGCAGGGATAATATGTTTCTTTAATCAGATGAGCTTTACCTATACATTAATTTTCCGAACATAAGTGAGTGTGAAACTAGAAAACTGCATTTAATTTTCAACCCGGTCGGTCGACCCAAAATTGAAATAGGGTCGGGTCGAGTGGTTAAACCGTTGTACAATTGGCGAGTGATTTGAATATTTTATTTGTATTTATTTACAAGGGTAATCAATTTATTAAAAAAAAAAGAGATTTAATTTTTAAAAATAAGAAACTATTTGTCTGCGCGACATAATATAAGATGTACTTAATATATATATATATATATATTTTTTAAAAAATCGTTGTCCATAAGAAGTGTGTGTATATATATATATTTTTTTTTTGTTAAATTAATCATATTATTTTTCCGAAAAGAAAATATTTTTCAGGTCACTGCCAAAGCCTGGTTTGAAAACATTGAGCTAAGCAATTATATTATTATTAAGAAATTTAATGGAAATTATAAGCATTAGAAATTTTCCTTGATTTTTATTTTTTTTTTCTTTTATTTTGTTTTTGTATTTTGCCGCCCTTGTGGTCCTACCCGGCTCGATTCCGGATTAGTCGGTTCCCTTGTGAATCCAAAAACCGAAAGGTCCCTGTAAAAAAAAAATAAATGCATGATCATCACAAAGTAGAGTTAATAAAGAAAATGGATCACAAAGTAGAGTTCATAAAGAAAATGGTAACATATGTACACTCATAATTAATTAAGTGTTGAACCGATAATTAAATGTGAATCCTAATAAAACTCACCACATGAGAAAACCCTAGCCATAAATGTACTATAAATCCCATATACCATAGTGCCAATTCAAACAAAGCCACATTTAAAAGACAAAGACCACATACGAAATCATCGATCGAGGAACCAACAAAACCAATATGATGCCTAAATTTGTTCTTCTTTTTAGTTTGGCGATCATGGCCTTGAACTCGTTCGAACCCATGGCCGAAATTGGGGTATGGGCCCCAATCGAAAACCCAAATAAAGATGAATTTGCGGTTTGGGCAGCGAACTTTGCCGTGAGCAAACAAAACAAGAAAGTCAATACGTCACTAAAGTTTGATTGTATCGTCAGTGGACAGGTAGAAGAACTCGATAACGGGTTCCAATATGGATTTTTTCCTACAGATTTACAGTACAAGCTAGTGATCTCAGCGAATGATGGCAGCGGAATCCAAAAGCAGTACGAAGCCGTTTTGTATGTCGAACGAGAGGAAAATGCTAAAGAGGGCACCTTTCTCGTTTCCTTTGCAGAATTTAAAACAACAAATTGATGGCTATCCTAAAACAAATTGAATATTGTCACATTTGATTGCATTTGTCAATTAATACTGGAACATGGGTATGACTTTGTAATTGGATAAAATTATAGTGAGACTTCAATTGGTAGTCTTAAATAGTTTTTATAAATATGCATTTATAGGAAAAGTAACATTTGATATTAATTGGATACATAACAAATAAACAGAAGTATAACAAAGTAACATTTGATATTAATTATAAATATGCATTTTTATTAATTGAGGGTTCGCACCCATCTAATGGTTAGGCTGCATCACCTAAAAATTTGTATACATTAGTAGTTTATAGGAAAATTTTCTAATAATTAATCATTTAAAAAAAATATATTTTTAGTATTAGGCTAATATATGTTATAATAATAATAATGCTGAAATAAATTTAAAAATATTTATTTTTCTTAAGTATATACAAAAAAAAAGTTAAAAGTAAACTGACCCTAGCTACACTTACCCTAGCCACACTTACCCTAGCCATGGTAGGTTATAATAGATAAGGGCATGATTGTTTATGAAATAATTTGCTCAAAATGAGTTAGTTTGATTAATCATAGTTAATTTTGAAAATGTGGTATGATTAGTTGTTAGTAGAATTTTAAGAATGTACTAAAATAATATTTAAAATAACATGATTAAATTTGGTTTGATGTAAAAGGAAGAGATAAGTGATTGGAAATGATTGGAAATGATATGTGGTTAAAATTGTGAGTTGATGAATAATGAATTAAAGTTGATGTGATATGTAAGAATAATTGATTTATATTATTTAATTATATAAATAATATTAAAGATAGTGAGGTTGAGTTAAAGTTGCGTTAGATTTTGAGTTGAAAAAAATGTGAGTAAATTATTCCATATACAATCAAGCCCTAAGCGTACATAGACAAGTTTTTTAGCTAGTATAATATTTAGCAAATAATGCGATCGTATTATCTATTCCACTCATAACAAATACATAATTCGAGATTGAGATTAAACATATTAAAATTGTTCGAAAGTTAGTACTTTTTCAAGATATATACATACTTTTAAATTAAAATGTTATACTCTAAATATTATAAAATGACATTTGATTGCATAAATATTATATATTTAATTTCGTTAATTAATAATATGACGAGTCGACTCGACGAATAAGTCAACTCACACCAAAAATTTTTGGATTGGACAATTGTAACATTTCTTAGCATAATAAGGTTCCACAACATAGACACGTTCAATGTACTATTAAAATACTCACATTTGTACCAAAAAAAAAA